AGGGGGGGGGGGGGGGGGGGGGTTCAGCCACCCCAACTGTTCAGCTAAACTCAATCTTCTCTGCAAAAACGGACCCAAGAGAAAATCATGGAAAAAACTCTGAGTACATGTACATAGTATTGTCTGCGTGACGATATTGTCTGCATGCACTACGTATATAAGCGCCATCTATATAAGCGCTAACTCCTAAATCAAGTACACTAATTGATTTAATATTAACAAATAGACCAGAAAATATTTCCAGATCAGGTGTCATTCACCTGGGAATTTCAGATCACAGCCTTGTTTACGCTGTGAGAAAATTTACACTACCGAAAGGAAGGCAAAAAATTCGTCAGGTTCGTAACTTTAAAAACTTTGTCGAAAATGATTTCATTCGGGATGTGTCTCAATTGCCTTGGGAGATGGTCTATCAGTTTGGAGATCCCAATTTATGTTGGCAAGTCTGGAAATCACTATTATTAGATGCACTTAATAGACATGCCCCTCTGCGCCACAAGCGAATAAGGAATAACCCTGTCCCATGGATTAATCCTCAAATTAAATAACTTATGAGAAAAAGGGACTATCACAAAAAAAAGGCCATAAAATATGATTCGGAGTCACAGTGGGAATTGTATAAAACACTACGTAATGAAGTAAATATAAACATGCGGAAAGCAAAATCTAAGTACTTTTGTGATAAAATCCAGGCAAGCTCTCAAATGGGAGACAGTAAAAGCGGATGGGCTTGGATAAATTCGCTCTTAGGAAGAAAGCATAAGAATGCAAATGTTAATGAGCTGAAAGTAAATGATGATATTATTTCTGATGATAAATCTATTACTGAAACATTAAATGAATATTTTATAAATATTGGAATGAAGATGGCTGCTGAATCAGCATGTCAAAGCACTGACGCTTTAAATGATCAAGTAATTTATGAAAGTACTGTGCTTCTTCCTAAAGAAAATTTTCACTTCGCAGATATTACTATAGATAGTGTTTCCAAACGCCTACAAAAACTAAATGTCTCAAAAGCGACAGGTATGGATGGAATACCTGCGAATATTTTAAAACTGACATCAACCCTTATTGCTCCATCTATAACTTTTATATTTAACCTATCGATTAGAACTGGTATTTATATAGATGAGTGGAAATTAGCTAGAGTTATACCAATTTGCAAATCTGAGGATAAGCGTAAATGCGAAAATTATAGACCAATTTCAATTCTTCCCATAATAAGTAAAATATTTGAAGGGGAAGTTTTTACTCAAATATATAGCTTTTTGAATAAACATGCGCTTCTGTCTAAATTTCAATCCGGTTTTAGACCAAAACATGGAACCTTAGGTGCTCTTATACAAATGTGTGATCAATGGCTACAAGACATGGATGAAGGCAAAATAAATGGAGTTGTTTTTCTTGATATATGTAAAGCATTTGACTCGGTGAATCACGAGATATTATTGGAGAAGCTTGAAACCCAGTTTGGAATTCACGACATTGAATTAAAATGGTTCCAATCATACTTAAGGAATAGAAAGCAAGTGTGTTCTGTTAATGATCAAACTTCTTCTGCAAGAACAATAATATGCGGAATTCCGCAAGGATCCATACTTGGTCCATTATTGTTTTTGCTATATATTAATGATATGCCTGACATTTTAGAAAGGACAATCCCATGTCTTTATGCCGACGACACTCATACATCTTCCTCTTCGCATGATTACGATACATTGATTGACAATTTGAATATGGACCTTTCCAGTATTCATAAATGGCTTGCTAAAAACAAACTAAAATATCATAGGAAAAAAACAAAAGTCATGTTTATTGGATCTACGCATAATCTAAATAATAAAATAGGAAATAGACCAGTTGAGATTAACAAAATCCCAGTCCCACAAACCAATACATTTCAATGTCTAGGTGTAAGTCTAGATGAAAAATTAAGTTGGGAGAAACATATTGATTCTGTATGCCATAAGATTAGCGCTGGAATAGGAGCAATTAAAAGAATAAAACCTTATGTTCCACACAAAACCTTACATGATGTCTACAAAACATTAATTCAGCCTCATTTTGATTACTGTTCTCCCCTGTGGGATAACTGTGGTTTGGGACTTCAAGACAAATTGCAAAAATTCCAAAATCGAGCAGCAAGGGTGATTACCAGAGCTGACTACGATGTAAGATCGTCTGAAGTCCTAAACAAATTAGGCTGGGAAACCCTGGCTAGGAGACGAGAACAAAACAAGCTAGTATTGATGTATAAAGTCTTGGGGAACCACACTGCGCCAAACCTTAAAGATCTTTTTTCTCAGAGAAATGCATCGCAGAATATTTATGATTTACGCAATAGCGAAAATGATCTCTCGTTAAAAAAACCGAAAACGGAATTTCTAAAGAAAACATTTGGATACAGTGGAGCAATTCTATGGAATAGTCTCCCGCAAGATGTCAAGGCGGCTGAGTCAATTACGTCATTTAAAACAATGACGAAATTGCATTTAAGCAGATGATAAGCTCCAGGACCAAATGATGGGAGGACAATTGCAATATAGATTGTAGGCGGGAGGGGGGTTAGTTTTGCGTGAGGGTGGGTGGGTACTTGTTTAGGGGGTGGAGGTTTGGGAGGAAGATGATAAAATTTTAGGGTGGGATTCTTACATATTTTGTTCTATATATAATTAACATTTAGCTCTTTGTGTGTATACGCCCTTCGTGGAAACCAGTTGTAAATAATTGTCGAAGTTAGCGTATTGAAATAAAGTTTTACATACATACATAAAGGCAGAGCAATGGATTCAAAATCACAGTCGCCGGCATCCGACGTTTATTGTAAATCGAATTGCGGAGATTCAAGATGACTGTGACCCATCTGAATGGCGACACGTCCCTGGACGTCTAAACATAGCGGACGTTGGTAGCTGCGGCCTCTGCCTTGCAAACCTTGATCCAGAATGCCGTTGGTTAAACGGGCCGGCCTTTCTGACACTACCAGCAGAATTTTTGCCTGCAGACGTCGTCGTGCCTCAAGACGTTAGTCTGGCGACTGAAGTGACTAATTCTTCCTGTGTCAGTGACGTCTTGAAATACAGTCCCTTGAATTCAACACATTTCTAATCATGGCATAAGCAGTTACGCCTAACTTGTTGGATCTTGCAATACACGAGTAACTGTTCCAAGAAATCTCAAGAACGTGAATTTGGCGCTCTAACCGTGACGGAATACGCGAATGCAAAACAGTTCTGGATAAACGAGCTCAAATGGAACGTTTTCCACTCGAAGCGCATGGTTTTAAGGAGAAAAAATCAATCCCACGTCAGAGTCGTATCCTAACCTTGTCTCCATTTATGGACAACGAGGGTATAATTTGTGCTGGTGGTTGTCTCTTGAAGGCACCCATCCCTTGTTCCGCCCGACACCCTGTCATACTCCCCGAGAAGGACGATGTGACACGAATTATTATCACAGATTACCATGAGCGTTTACGCCCCGAAGAAAATGAGCATGTCCGCAACGTCATCCGGCAAGAGTACTGAATTTTGAATTTGCGTTCGACCATTCGCAAGGTATCGCATACTTGCGCTTATTGTAAGAGAAGACGTGCTCGACCACATACCCCATACATGGCAAATTTACCCAAGGACAGGCTACAAGGTTACTCACTTCCATTTTCATATGTTGGAGTCGACTACTTCGGACCGATGCAAGTCAAGCGTTTTCGAAAGACCGAAAAAAGGTGTGGCTGCTTGTTTTCATGTATGGCCACACGCACTGTGCACATGAGGTTGTTCACAGTTTAAAAACCGATTCTTACATAATGGCTATGAGATCGCTAGAAGAGGAAAACCTGTGCGTATCCATTCCGACAACGATACCAACTTCGTTGGTGCGGACAGAGAACTGCGCGATTGTTTGCACAACTGGAACCAATCGAAGATTAACGACGAACTGCTGCTACAAGGTATTGAATGGCACTTTAACGCACCCGCTGCCCCACATTCGGGAGGAGTTTGGGAACGTTTAGTGCAGTCATGCAAGAGAGCTACCAAAGCTGTCGTAGGAAACCAGACTCTGACGGACGAAGTCTTGTTGACGGTTATGACGGAGGCGGAAAGCTTGTTAAATGGTCGGCCACTTACTCATGTTAGCACGTACCTTTCGGATAAAGAGACGCTTACTCTCAACCATTTCCTTTTGGGAAGATCTAACCCAAACTTAACCCCGACGTGTTTATTGACAAAGAGATTTCTAGTCGGAAACGATGGCATTAGGCCCAAGTTATTGTGGATCACGTATGGAAAAGGTGGCTAAAGGAGTATGTTCCGAACATTCTAGAGCGACGGAAGTGAATACGCAAATTAGGAACGTGAAGATAGGATATCTTGTCCTCGTGGTCGATAAGGACACTGAGCGTGGAGCATGGTTGTTGGGTCCTGCCACAAAGCCTATCGTTGGAGATTTAGGTGTAGTCCGAGCAGCCGAAGTTCAAACGAAGAATGGAATACTTGTCCGGCCGGTAGAAAACTTGCGCTTCTCGAAGAAGCCGTTGATGTTTAAAGTCGTATACGTCCTGGAAACCGAGAACGAATACGGGGCCGGCAATGTCCCGTCCGGACGCGTATAAACGACGTTTATTTAGTATAATTTATTCTTGCTATGTTAGCCAATCAGGCTTTATCGAAAGTGACGTCGACGGCATGGTTGCAGGCTGTCGAGAGGACGAACAGTGAACGCTTTTTGTTGAGCGGTGTAGTTTTATCGATTGCTATTATCGATTTTACCAATTACTCGTAAACATGGACAAGGGTTTGATTAGCGGCATAAAAGGCTTTTGACACAGTCGACCATGAGATAATTCTCTCTAAATTAGAACGCTATGGAATAAGAAGAAGAGCCTTAAAATGGTTCAGATTATATATCCTCGAAAGGAAACAAATGTGCAAAATTAATGACTCGATTTCAAATGTTAAAAAGATCAGGTGTGGAGTTCCCCAGGGATCAAACCTTGGTCCTCTGCGATTTCTTATTTACATAAACGATCTGCCTAATTGTTTAGAAACAACTCGAGCGTCTCATGTTCGCGGACGATACCAACATGTCATGCTGTAGCAATTCACCCAGCGACATTGAACACAAACTAAATACCGACCTCGAAAACGTACATAAATGGTTATTAGCCAACAAATTGACGTTGAATACAGAAAAAACAGAATTTATGATAGTCGGATCTCGGCAAAAATTAATGATATGCCCATTGTTCCACATATAGTCATTGGAGATCAGATAATAAATCAAGTATCGAGCAAAAAGGTTTTAGGGGTCATAATTAATGATCCATTAAAGTGGCACGATCATAATGACGCACAGTGTAAAACAATCTCAAAGGCTATAGCCCTCTTCAGAATCGAGGAGCAAAGCCTTTTGCAACACTAGATACATTACTAACAATGTATAAATCACTTCTTTTACCACATTTCACACACTGTTCCACTGTATGGCATGATGGAAACAACTCACACATCACAAAGCTACAAAAACTTCAAAAACGAGCGGCGCGGGTGATAACAAATTCAGGTTATGACATTAGATCACACGAGATACTTGATAACCTAAAATGGGAGCCAATTGAAGCTACTTTTACTAAAAGAGAACAAATAATGACATTTAAGGCACTAATTAGAGGCATTGTACCAACATATTTGACTGAACTATTCACCACTAAGAACAATACCACATACAGTCTAAGAAGCAATAATCGAAAGCTTTACCTTGATAAACCAAAAACAAATTTCTTAAAACGTAGTTTTTCATATCGAGGAGCAATTTCCTGGAATAGCCTACCACTTGAAATCGTCGATACATGCGGCGATTTATCAGTTGATTCATTTAAAAGACTTATATCAATCAGAAGGATTAGTAAATTTGTGAATTTATTATTGTAAATTAATGTAAATAGTATTTATTAGGTAATTTGATTATGTATTGTATTTTAGTTGTTGCACGGCTCTTTGAAAACCAGGGAACTGAAAGATCACCGTGCATGTAAATACGTTTAAATAATAATAAAAGATATTTCGATATTAAAATGTAAATTATAAAGCATTTTCAGTGTTATTCGATCGAATTATGAATCACGGCGTTAGCCGCCCGTGAGAAGGGCGGCTTCGACCTTCGTTCGAAACGCCGAAGTTCTCCTTGCATTTTTCAGGTAGTTGTATCCCTATCAATCAGAAGCTTTCGTACATATTTTCCCCAGAATTTTTTGTTGTTTTCAATCGATTTCAGTGTAAAAGCAGTGGTGGATTTAGAAGGGGGGGGGGGG